ATTTGGTGATAAACAGTTTCACTTCTAACCCTGCAAGTTTCAGAATTTCCGGACTGTATATTTTTTCTCAACTATAATTCAGGCAGGTCTTTTTGAGTTCATCTCTTTATTATGCCTTTTCAAGTACAGCTAGCAGCAACCCACTTTTTAACATTCTGCTTTGAAATCATCTCACCTAACTTCACAAGTTTATTAAGTACATGTTCTGCCTTCCATGTTATTGCAGGTGACAGTTTTCCCAAACGTTTTTCCACTACATAACACTGCTGCCATTTTTCCACTCTCCTATGACAAGTACATCATTGCCTGCTGTCCATTCCCAAGACCAGTGCTGCACAACTTAGGTTTTTGTTACAGCAGCACTTTAAATACCAAATTCTGTATCAGTCAAATTTTTCTGCCTTTCAAAACACTCCAAATCCTAGTATCACACAATAATCTACATATATTTCTTATACATTTGTGGGTTGGATGGAGTTTGGCTGATCTTGGCAGGACTCAACTGGTCTCTAAGCTGCAAGTTGGGTCTAAGTCTGCTTCACACATATCTCATCTTCCTCAAGCCAGAAGCTAGCCCTGTTCTCATGCAAAAAGCAAGAGACCAAGAAACAAGCCCAACTATGCAACCCCACATCAGTAGTAGAGAAGTGTATTCCTCCTGTGGGGCAAGGGAAAGGGAGTGATCATTTGCTGAAAAATCTTCTATCTACTATATTACCAGAATGCAGAATAGAGAGATAAAGTATGGAAAACATGAAAGAACAATAATTTAATGGAGAATGGATAAAACACAACATATGTCTAATAGGAGTTCCAGAATAAAAAATAAGCAATATTCAAACAGAAAATGCCTATGATTTTTTCCAGAATAAAAAACAAAGTCTTCAGATTCAAAAATTAAAATGATCTTGATGCAAGTAAAACTAAAAAAAACAACTCTCTCTTTCTCTATACACACACACACACACACACACACACACACACACACACACACACACACTCTTTCTCTCTCTAAAGATACACAAACACATACCTATATGTACAGAAATTAAAATGTTTGATAAGAAAAAGAAAAATAAATCCATACATATACATTCATACCTATAAATACCTAGACCCATTTTCATGAGCATAAAAATATGAATCTCAGAGAAAATCTTAAATACTAAGAGAAAAGACAGTTCCCTATTAAAGAAATGCCATTTAGGTAGAAAACTTCTCATCAGCTACAGTGTATGCAAGAAGACATTGGGAAAATATCTTCAAAGTGCTGAGGGGAAAATTACTATCAGCTTAAAATCCTGTATGCAGTGAAATTATTCAAGATGAAGGGAAAGAGATTTTTAGGAAAAGATTGAGTTTACAGCATACTGACCTTCTCACAGCTTCTCACACAATGTACTTCAGGAAGATGAAAATTGAATTTAGAAATGAATGTAAGAAGCCATTATGAATGAGAAAATAAATACACATAACCATTGATTAGACTGATTTTGAAGGAGGGGTGTTTTAAAAAGTAGTTGTGTGGACTTCCCTGGTGGTACAGTGGATAAGAATCCTTCTGCCAATCCAGGGGACACAGGTTTGGTCTCTGGTCCGGGAAGATCCCACATGCTGCGGAGCAACTAAGCCCATGCACCACAACTACTGAGACTGTGCTCTAGAGCCCATGAGACACAATTACTGAGCCCACATGCCACAACTACTGAAGCTGGTGCCCCTAGAGCCTGTGATCTGCAACAAGAGAAGCCACCACAAGGAGAAGCTTGTGCACCACAACGAAGAGTAGTCCCTGCTCGCCGCAACTAGAGAAAGCCCGCGCGCCTCAACGAAGACCCAATGCAGCCAAAAGTAAAATTAAATTAAATATTAAAAAAAAAAGTTGTTGTATGAATGACTTTTTTTTTTTTTTTTTGTGGTACATGGGCCTCTCACTGTTGTGGCCTCTCCCGTTGAGGAGCACAGGCTCCAGACATGCAGGCTCAGCGACCATGGCTCACGGGCCCAGCCGCTCCGTGGCATATGGGATCTTCCCAGACCGGGGCATGAACCCGTGTCCCCTGCATTGGAAGGCGGACTCTCAACCATTGCGCCAACAGGGAATCCCTGTATGAATGACTTTTGAGGACATCATGCTGAGTGAAATAAGCCAGTCACAAAAAATAAATACTATAGTATTCCATTTACACAAGGTCCCTGGAGTAGTCAAATTCATGGAGACAGAAAATGTAACGGTGGTTATAAAGGGCTGGGGAAAGAGAGGAATGGGGGGGGGGGCTGTTGTTTAACGGGTATAAAATTTCAGTTTTGCAAGGTGAAAAGAGTTCTGGAGATTGGGTGCATAGCAATGTGAATATAATTAACACTACTGAACTGTACACTTAAAAATGGTTGTGACAGTAATTTTGTTTTGCATATTTTATAATTAAAAATGAAAACAAAGAAAGTTGAAAGGAAATAATTTTAACAAATACAATAAATGGTCTAAGTGTAGCAGTATCAATTAACTTTAGACCGTTTTAAGAAAGTATGTTAAAAATTTAAGGGTAACTGTTACAAAAAGGAAAAAAAATATAAGACAGTAAATTAAGCCAATCCACTAGAAGGGAAACAGCAATGACAGCAGCAACAATAGCAAATAGGGAGAAACTAAAAGAAGCAGCAATGGAAGGCATAGCATATAGAAAGCATAGCATATTTATGATAGTAGAAATAAGGCCAAATATAATCACAGTAAATATGAGTGATTGGATTTGTTAAAAACCAGAGGTTTTATACCTATTTAAAAAATAAAACAGCCTTAAGCAATTTATGAGGTACCAAAAACATGAAGACATACAGAAATGGTGAACATGAAATGATCGAAAATAATATGCCAGGAGAACACCAAAGAAAGTTGGTTTTGCTGGTAGATCAAAACCTATTCTGAGTTGTCTTACCATCTATTATCAATCAAATTTCTATCAATATAGACTATGAGGCAAAAAAGAAAATAACTTATTAGAAAAAAGTCACTATTTAATGATAAAAATAACAGTTTATAAGGAAAATGTAGCATCTTGAATCTTTTCGTATCTAGAGGCATGACCTCAAAACATATAAAGCAGAAAGTCTAAAGAATTGTAAGTAGGAAAAAAAAAAAAGAATTGTAAGTAGAAATTGAGAAACTCTTTTAAAAGATCCCAAATGCTGCAACTAAGACCCAGCACAGTCAAAATAAATATTTTTAAAAAAGCTGATGGATCAAGCAAAAATCAATAAAGATAGAGAATATTAGGACAACATAAGCAATACGCTTGATCTAATAATCATATATAGACTCTTCTGGCCAACATTTAGATTATTTCAAACATGGGTAAAACGTTTACAAAAATCAAGCAGTACAAAGCCATAAAGAAGATTTCAAAAAATATCAAACAATCCATGTCATAAAGAGCTCCTTTTCTGAACAAAATCAGAAATCTGAAGAAAAAGATGGCCCCAAATACTATGTGTTTGAAAACTAAATGGTTCATGGCTAAAATAAATCAAATTGGAAATTATATAACATTTATAAAGGAATAACAGTGAGAATAGTCTGGTGGTAAAACAGAACCAAGAGTGACATGTAAGGTCTAAATGCATAAATAAGAAAAAAACGAAAACTAGTGAGCTAAAATTTCATTTTAAAATATTGAAAAAGTACAACAGAATAAGTCACAGAAATTAACAAAACAGAAAGTACAAACAAAAAGAAGGATCAAAAAAAGCCAAAATCTGGTCCTTTGAAAAGACAGGGATATTTTATAAAATGAGAAGAATGATGCCAGTGTGCAATGAATGTTAACTAATAGCTGTAATCATTAAGAGAAGATTGCTACTGAGCCATCATCTTAGTTTTCTGGGTTTATACCATGTAGTTAGTTTTTGCTGGTTCAAGTCCCTGGCATTTAACCACACAATAAAACAAAAAATCAGCCCATAAGTGATAACCTTTACAAATAATCATGAATATATATTGTTGCTTGGTTTAATCGACTGCATAATGTTTTATAAAAATTACTTCATTTACTTGATAAACTGAAAGGGCTATGGGGCTCGATTCCAGCCTAAAGGCACATGATATGCACCTATAAATATATAATTAGGCAGTTCTTAAAACCAAATTTGCTAGTGCTACATTGCAGGTCCAGCATCATAAGTACTAAAGCATTTTCCTGCCAGGCTTCCTTTATCAGCGTTATTACTAAGTGGAGAAGCTTGGCATTCAAATGTAGTCTCTATATGAGAATACGTAATGGAAAATTGATAACCTGGATATATCCTATATAATATCTTCTTACTATGTAAATCTTTCATAACTAAGGGTGTTTTCATTTTCTTAATATCTTGAGTATCTTAATATTTAAAAATCTTAATAACAGCTTAAAATCAATAATTTTGCCTGTAGTTTTCAACACAATTTTATGTAAAACATATTTATTATCTACTTTTCAGGTCAGTGACTCATTTAAAAAGACTTTTAAGTGAATCTAGCTTTGGGGAAGAAATGTGCTTATTTTTAAATAATAGGTTTTTGATTAGAGTTTTACAAGGTGGTTGGTTATTACAGATTACGTTCACATAAGGTATGTGAATTTCAATCTATGTGAACTTTACTCCAATCAAAGTACTGTGTTTCCTTGGACTAAGAAGACTTTGCTTTTTAATCTTATACATGTATTAGGCTAGGTGCGTGTGATGTTAAATTTTAAAATTTGAAATATTTTAAAAATATAGGAAATTACACAAAGTAATAAAACATACAGTAGAAAATGACCATAAAGAATCCTCAATAGTTAACATTTTGTCATAATTGCTTTACCTTTTTATAATATAGTGACTAAAACATTAAGGATAAGTTGGAGTCTTTGTCCCCCCAATCTAGTCCCATTTCCTTCCCCTTTCCCTATAAATTCAATGTGTCTTTTCTTTCTTTCTTGTTTTAAATGTCTCTCTATATTTATTTCTCTGTATCTTAGACTGGAACACAAAGCTTTAATTTTAGTTTGAAGATAGGTGAAAATCACAACTTGGACTTGGTTCAAGGCTTTTATATTGGTGTACCGCAAAAGCAGTTAATAAGCAGTGCTAAGGATATAAATGAGGTAAGGATGCAGGTAGGTGAATTCATCTGCCCACTTCCTGCTTGTTTGTATATCACAAAAAATTTGGTGGCTTCAACAGCTCTAGCAACTTAGCCAGGCTAATCTTTTCTGTATTGTTCCAACTTTAATATATGTGCTGCTGAAGCAAGCGCTCGATGTGTCTTTTCATTCAAATTTTATGCCTTTACACACGTAAAAATATATTCAGATAAAATTTAGAGTATTGTCTTATGTTTTAGACTTTACTTAAATGAATTCATCCTGTATAAATTATACTGCAACTGCTTTTTTTTCTGACAGCATTGTTTTTTATAATCCACTAATTATGTATATATGTGTGTATATATATATATATATATATATATATATAAAATTTGTGGGTTGCTTTTACTTGCTGTATGATATTCTATCATTTAAACATACCATATTTTAGTTATTTTCCTTCCGATAGACATTTCAGTTTTGGTCAATATTTTGCATATGTACCCTCTTATAAATGTGTGAGAGTTTCTCTAGAGTATGTATCTAGAAGTAGGAATGTTGAGTTTTACAGTATGTTCATGTTAACCTCCATGTCCTTTATTTACTTTTTGCCAAAGTATTATACCTAAATAGTTAAAAATTCAGAGTATAGCATAAAAATTGTAGAGTATAGCATAAAAAATTGTAGTCCCCTTTTCTACCTTCTCTCATTCTTCTCCCTGGAAGCCACCACTTCCAACTGTTTTAAAAGTTTATTCTGATATTTACCTCCATTTATATACAATATGCACGTAGAGCCATCGCTTGATTATTAATTGTAAACATCTGTTGTCTTCTTGCTTTGGAACATAAAGACTTTAGCTCATTCATAGCTTCTTATTCCTTCCTTCTATTTTTCTATATAATTTTGTATCTCAGTTTTTGCTTATTAAATCTCTAATTGTGTCAGCATCTTTTGACTACATAAATATTGATCACTGTTGGGCCAAGCATTAGACTATACTTTTATTTCCTATCTTTTTTTCTGAAGTTGATAATTGCTTGATTTTTTATCTTCATTCATTATTTTTCTTTGAAAATTTGAATAAAGTTTTCCCATAGTTCCAAAACTGCCATAAAATATATCTCAATATAATTTTCATCAGGCCTAAACTTCAGGACAACTTATTTGTTCTATTTCCCCCCTGGAAACATCAACATTGGACATATCTGATGTCCTGACAATCTGAATTGGTTGCATTCTCAGCTTTGATGTTCACTGTTATCTTGGAACTTTCTTTCGTCACCATTTTTGGAATTTTGTTTGCTTTCCTTCTATCTTCTTTCTGGAGCCAAAAGGAGGAAAGAGGAGAAGGGTCCTACTGCTCAGTATGAACTCTTTTCACCACCTCTTCATCTATGCCTGGTCATCTTCCAACTGGGACCTCTCTGTATTTCCAGAGAACAAATACTTGTTTCCCTGCAGGGATTGGGGAAGTTGCCTGGCTTCTTTGAGGATGAGAACTTGGGAGTTTCATTACAAGCTGTACAGTCTTACAAGCAATCTGTGTGTTTTCAGCCCCTTCTCTGCATCACTGCCTCCAACTCTTGAGCCATTCTAGGGTTCTGAGGGCTAAGGCAGCTTGCTTATCTTTGCTTCTCCCAGTATAGGCAAAAATGTTGTATTTCTGTTTCTTTTTCTTGTTGTTTGAGATAATTTCCAAATGGGGAAGCAGTCAGAAACGTCTTGTGTTCCTTCTACTATGATATATTGCTTCCTCCGAGGACACAGAAGTTAGACTTCCACATTCCCAGTAACTGTTGTGGCAGCAGTTGCTGGAACCAAGTTAGGAACGCCACTGAGAGATTGGGAAATTAGACTGAAATTAACTGAAAGAGCTAGATAAAGCTTATCTATCAGCCAGGATAAGGACTTAATGTTAGAGAATTAAATTGAGTGTAAAAAAAGAAAGGAAAGGGTAGCCCCTTTTCAAGGTGGCAAAGATATTTCTGAGTCCTCCTTTGGAAAATTCCTTCAAAACAAAGAGAAGAGAAAAATGAAACTCTGACTTTATCTCTGATGAAAATAGGAGACATTTGTATCTCTGAACCATCTTAAGTGCTTACAGGAGAAGTACCGATGTGAGGCAGGTTTGCTGCATGATCTGACCCCAATCTAACCTTACAAGATTATCTTTTATCACTTTCTTACATGTACCTCATGTTTAAACAAAAATGGGTCCTTCAGTTTCCCAGAATATATCTACCTTTCATATCTTCTTGTTATGCAGGACACATGCTATTCTCTCCTCATAAAATAATGGTGCTTAACGTTGGCTTGTGTGTGTGTCAGGAGAGGTGTTGAGAATTAAATAACCTCCTGGTGAGCTAGTATGCAGTTAAGATTAAAAACCACTGGTCTGGAATGTCCTCACCACCCCTTTTCTCTTCTGCCCTCAGGCTTTTCTGTAACCAAACTCTACTCATTGTTTCTGGTCATCTCAAGGTCCACCTCAAACTCTTCCTGACCCTCCTCACCCTCCATTCCCCTATCCAGATATTAGTTCTTCCTCCAGTGATCCTCTGTAGCTCTTTATTTGTACACTTCTTCTGGCACATATTATATTCTTGAACATGGAGGAATGACACTTGTTATTTGTTTTTGTCATCTCTGGACTGTAAATCTCTGGAACGATTGAGCCTCTTCATTTTTACATCTTTCAAAGCATCTAGCACAGGGGTTTTCATATAAGTGGCTACTCAATAAACATTTGTAACATTGAATAATTCACCTTTGATGAGGTGCATTTTTTTTAACTGAGAAAACTGAGATTAGAAGTCTGTGGGATGTGAAAATAAGGGCATATTCAGTGACAGGTCAGGATTAATGAGTATTTCTTCCATGTTTGAGTGTATGGTTTAAAGGACTAAAAGTCTGGCTAGCTATAATGTTTCTAACACAGAGATAAGTAATATACACATCTTTAAAGTTTTACCTAAGTTTACAATTTCTAATTTTCTGTCAGAAAACAACTCTGAAAAGAGAGCCACCTTAATTATTGTATATTTCTAGACCCAATAATTAGAGAGCCAATTAAGTAGTATTTGCTGACTAAAAAATTACACAACATACGAAACAGGAAATTATAGTGCAATATATCAAAGCAACAGTACTTATAAATTCAAATTGCTTGAGTCTGTCAGCCTTTACCTGGTGCGTTTTAGATATTCATTGTTTGAAGGACTTAAATAATACAAGGTAAATTGATGTAAAAGTCTGAAGATGGGGGTCAATGCTAAAGATTTGGGGGAGGGGGCAGTAATATACTGATGGTAGCTAAGGCCCAGAGAATAGATGGGATTGCTTCAGAAGAGTATGTCAAGAGAAAGATGTGGACCAAGAATGGCATTCTAAAACTCAATAACATTTAAGGGATGTCATAGGAAGAAGAATTTGTGAAGGTGAATGAGGAGGATAGGTCAGACAGGAAAAGGAAAAGCAAGAGGGAGTCAAATTTCAGAAGCCAAGGGATTAGAGAATTCAAGGACCCAGGAGGACTTCTGGTTTGAAGATAGTGTCATATGTAGTTGGCATTTTCCTTTTCTCTTACTAAAAATCATCTGAAAGCAGCAAGGAGAATGAGAAAATAAAAGAACACAAACCAGGAGACAGCTAAAACCCCAATCCCCCAGACAGGTGGAAATGATGATGAAAGCTTTAAAAATTAAGCAAAAGTAGTTGTAGGAGGAAGCAGAGAGAGCACACCATTATCTTAGAATATCTTAGAGCCAGCAAAGTAAACTTCTCAAAGGCAATAAGCATAGCCTAGGGAACAAAATCTAAATATGTTGTTTGGGAATAGGGTGTATGTTGGTTGGATGAGACTGCCTGTAGGATCAGTTGTTAGAAGTGGGATTGCTGGGTCAAAATGCAGGAACCTTGGAATTTTTGTTAAATATTGCCAACTTGTCTTCTACAGATTTTAAACTCATTTACACACCAACCAGTAATGTATAAAAATGCCCGCTTCTCTATGCTCTTGTCAAGAGTGTGATATTAAACTTTTGAATCTTTGCCAAAGTTATAGGGGAAAATTGATATTTCAGTGTATCTTTATATATGTTTCTCTTCCTGTGAGAAAGTTGGAACATCTTTTCATATGACCAAGAACCCATGAAGTGTCTCTAGATTTTTCCACAATTTCCATATTTTTCTCTATAATGCTGATTTGGAGACACTCTTACTATATAAGGGAAATTAATCATTTGTCAATGAATAAATTGCAGGTTATTTCCAGCTTTGCTCTTTTTAAAAAAACTTTAGTGGGTTTTCCATGTAATTTTTTTTTTTTTTCCGGTACGTGGGCCGCTCACTGTTGCAGCCTCTCCCGTTGCGGAGCACAGGCTCCCGACGCGCAGGCCAAACGGCCATGGCTCACGGGCCCAGCCGCTCCGCGGCATGTGGGATCTTCCCGGACCGGGGCACGAACCCGTGTCCCCTGCATCGGCAGGCGGACTCTCAACCACAGTGCCACCAGGGAAGCCCCATGTAATTTTTATAAAAATTAATTGTAGTCAAATTAGTTTTTTCATTTATGGCTTTTCATTTGGAAGCATACTTAGAAAGAATTTCCTTATTTCAAGATCGTAAATTTTTTTTCACATGGTTTCTTCTAGCTCTTTTATAATCTATTACTATTTGAGTCTTTGATCAATCTGGAATTTTTCTTATTTTAAAATGGGAAATATGAATCAAATTTTGTTATTTTCCATAAGGCTACTCCAATAGCATTTATTAAGTAATCATCTTTCTCTTAATGACTCAAAACATTTACCTTTTTTTTCTTTGTCCACTTTGTGTGGCTTGTGGGGATCTCAGTTCCCTGACCAGGGACTGAACCTGGGCCACGGCAGTGAAAGAGCCGAATCCTAACCACTGGACCACCAGGGAACTCCCCTTCATGACTCAAAACGTTTAAATTCTCATTTTATTTTATCTGTTTCTGGACACTCTAGTCTATTTCTTCTATCTGTTGGTTTATT